ATATCATTGAGCTTTACATCAGTTATTATCACTATTAGCATGATGACCTACTGAGTCATTATTATTAATCATTGATCATTATTATATATCATCCTTATCAGTATTGTTTTTAGTTCTTTTATGATTATATTAATATTTATCATCATCAGTATTATTAAATAATTTTTATCATTATTATATATGTAATATATTATTATTGTTATTCTTCTCATCATCTCATTATCATCATTATTATGATTATATCATAATCATTATCATCCGTTATTATTATTATTAATTACGGATGTATATTATTATTATGCGTTTATTCATTATTTTATTAATTTTATTATTATCATTATTATCATTTATTATCATGGCAAGTTGACTTATCATTCTCATTATCCATTTAATCATTCTATTGTCCGAACCACCCCAAAACCTCTCTCTCCACAGGTCAGCCCCCCTGGTGCGCGGAGCCAGAGAAATCTTCCCGTACGTGCTATTAACTACACCACGGGCCGTACGTACGTGACCTGCGACGGCATGCTAGACCAGAGCGTGCCGTACCGAGCGCTGCACGTGGATGGGTACGGCATGAGTCCCCTGGCATCGCTCAGCATGTCTGACGGCATCATATCGACCATCTCAGCTGGGATGTTCAGTGAGTGGTGGTGGGAAAAGTGGGTTGTGGGGCGGGGTGTTGGGTTGTTGTTGGTTGTTGTTGTTTGTTGTTAGTGGTGTAGTTGTAGCTGTTGTTGGTGGTGGTGTGTTTTTGTTATTTCTTTATATCATTATCCTTATTGTTGTTGTTGTTGTGTTGGTGGGGTGGTGATTGTATATTGTTATTATTGTATATATTTATGTTATTATTATATTATTTTGTTATTATTGATATTATTATTGTTATTATTATTATTGCTGTTATTATCGTCAATATCATTAATTATTATTATTATTATTATTATTGTTGTTATTTTATTATTATTGTTATTATTGTTATTATTGCTGTTATTATCGTCAATATCATTATTATCATTATCATTACTATTATTGTCATTATTATAATTGTTACCATTATCATCATTATAATTATCAATATCAATGTCATTATCAATATCAATATTATTATCATTATCATTACCGTTATCGTTATCATTATTATTATCATTATTGTTGCTGTTATTATTACCATCCTTATTACTATTGTTATCAATATCATCATCATTAATATCATTATTATCATTATCATTACTAATTTTACTACTACTACTATTACCATCATTATTATCATCATTATCGTTATTATTCTTATCAATCTCATATTCTTTTCATTATCATTATTATCATCATTATCACCATCATCATAATTGCCATGATTATCCTTATCATTATCATCATCATCCTTATGATCATTATTATCATCATTATCGTTATTATTCTTATCAATCTCATATTCTTTTAATTATCATTATCATTATCATCATCATTATGATCATTATTTTCATCATTATCGTTATTATTCTTATCATCTCATATTCTTTTAATTATCATCAATATCATCATTATTATGGTCTTTTCAGGGGCTGGACAGAGTTGCAATGTCGATGACGATAATTTAATTGCATATATAAAGTTGTTTTTACTACATTACAGTTATTTATGTCATCAGGGTACATTTTCATATAATTTATTTTTTTTTTTTAATCCTGTCTTATGGCAATTCACCCCTTTATACATCTTAATAAAGGATTTTTTTTTTTTTTATAAATGCGATTTACCTGCATGTATAAAGTTGCATATATTGCATAACAGTTCTTTTGGTGTCGTCAAATTACATTATCCTATGATATGTGTTTTTTTTCAGTCTTATTTTACGTAAACCCATCTATTTAGGAGTCTTATATAACGAAAATGAAACACATTTAACGCTACGAAAACTGTGATATGAAATGCGTTTAAGAAAGTTTAATGTTTTTCTAACTAATCTTCAAGTTAATTCTATTGTTTTTTTTTTTCTCGATTACAAATAACTATGGATCTTTGGATAATCTTTCGTCGTAGTTTTTTCCACCTGGTGTTTAGAATGATAACAGCATGATAACAAAATAACTTTACTACCTACATACGTTTTTATACAAATTATTTACACACGCACACACACACACACACACACACACACACACACACAGACACACACACACACACACACACACACACACACACACACACACACACACACACACATATACTCACAGAAATATACAAAATATACCAATAATATACATATCTGCTCCAATGTTCAAAGAAAAGAATAATATTTTTGTATCATAATACTGTTATATAATAATGAGGAGCAAATATATGAAAGGAAAAACGCCCGAGAATTTTATTTATCTTATCAAAGCAGTCAGAATAATCTTGTCATATCATAAAAGAATAAAACCATTCCCTTTTCATATCATAAAAGAATAGAACCCTTCCCTCTCAAAGAATAGAACCTCTCACACACTAAATGCACTTTATCCTCATCTAGGAATTGAACCCTCACTCTCATACCGAAAATAATCAATCTCGATAATTCAAAAATTGAACCTTTTCCTCTCACATCAGTAAGGAATAGAACTTTCTTTGTCTCTCGATAATTCTCTACCTGCAGGCATGAATTGAACCCCAGAAAATTAATTAAAATTTATTCTTACACCACAAAATAAATGAATTCTTACACCACAAAATAGAACCCCTTAACACTTTCCCCTCAAACCTCTCGACAATTTTCCCCCTTCAGGCTTGAATTGAACCCCTTGCTTCTTCTCATACCACAAAAAATAGAACCCTTTCCTCTCACACCGTAAAGGAATTGAACCTCTTAACCCTCCTCACATCCATAAAATAGAACCCCTTCCTCTCATACCAGATAGGAATCGAACCTTTTACTCTCATACCACAAAATATGAACCCCTTTCCTCTCACACCACTAAAATGAACCCCTTCCACTCACACCACAAAGGAATCGAACCTTTTACTCTCATACCCGAAAAACATACCACAAAAGAATTGAACCCTTAACGCCCCTCATACCGAAAAATAGAACCTCTTCCTCTCATACACAAAAGAATTGAACCGTTTATTCACCAAAAATGAATCACACTGCAAAGGAATTGAACCTCTTAACCCTCCTTTCTCAACCGAAAATAGAACTCTTCCTTTCATACCAGAAAGGCAATTGAACCCTCTCATACCACTAAATGAACCCTTTCCTCTCACACAAGAGAATCGAACTCTTAACCCTCTCACACCATAAAATAGAACCCCTTCCTCTCATACCAGAAAGGAATCGAACCTTTTACTCTCATACCACAAAAATGAACCCCTTTCCTCTCACATCACAAAGGAATTGAACCTCTTAACCCTCCTCACATCCATAAAATAGAACCCCCTCTTCTCACACCACAAAGGAATCGAACCTTTTACTCTCATACCACAAAATATAGAACCCCTTCCTCTCACACCACAAAGGAATCAAACCATTTACCCTCATACCACAAAAATGAACCTATTTCCTCTCATACCACAAAGAAATTGAACCCTAAACTGAACCCCTTCCTCTCACAACACTAAAATGAACCCCTTCCTCTCACAACACTAAACTGAACCCCTTGCCACTCACACCACAAAGGAATCAAACCCTTTACTCTCATACCACAAAACTGAACCCCTTTCCTCTCACACGACAAGAGAATCGAACCCCTCAACTTCTCCTAACCCTACGGTTCTCCACCACCAGGCATGCACTCCTTTGAACAACTGTCGTTCATGAACAACCGCCTAGAATACATTGAACCTGGAACCTTAGAACCTCTTCGCTACGATCTGCGGGCTCTCTACCTGAACGACAACCTCCTCACACAACCGATGATGGATCAGGTCCTGGTGGGTACAAGTTGTTATTATCATTATTGTTTTGTTGTTGTTGTTTTGTTGTTATTCATCCTTATTGCTATTACTGTTATTATTTTTTATTTGGTTTTTGCTTTGTTATCATTATCTTTATTTTTATTATTATTATTCTTATTATTATTATTATTTATTATTATTATTATTATCATTATTATTATTGCTGTTGTTGTTAATGTTGTTAGCATTGTTTGTTGTTATTGCTATCATCATCATTATTACTATTACTATTATTAGTTTGTTTTGTTTTTTTTTGTTATCATATATCAATTTTTAATTTTCATTATTATTATTATCATCATTATTGTTGTTGTCATCATTGTTATTGTTATTGCTATTATTATCATCATTATTACTATTACTATTATTAGTTTTATTTTGTTTTTGTATTATCATCATTTTTATTTTCATTATTATTATCATTATCATTATTGTTGTTGTTATCACTATCATTATCATGATGTTACTATTATCACTATCACTATTTACTATTACTATTACTATCTTCATCATCACCATCATCCTCCACACTCCACTTGAACAGTGTTTTACTTTTTACTATTACTACCAATCATCTCACTCCACCTGAACAGTTACTATTACTATCACATCATCACCATTCACCATTTATACCCACACTCCTCCTGAACAGTTTTACTATTACTATTACAACCATCATCATCCTCCACACTCACCTGAACCTGTGTTCTACTTTACTATTAGTACCATCATCTCCATCCTCCACACTCCACCTGAACAGTGTTTTACTATTACTATTACTATTACTATTACCACCATCATCTCACCCTTATCCACACTCCACCTGAACAGTGTTCTACTATTACTATTACTATTACTATTACTATTACATATTACTATTACCATTACTATTACTATTCCTATTACCATTACTATTACTATTACTATTACTATTACTATTACTATCACCACACCATCCCCACCCTCCACCCTCCACAACAGGGCTTCCCGCGGCTGCTGGAGTTCCACGTCCCCAACAACCTCATCGACGACATATCCTCCATGGCAGGCTACTCCGAGACGGC